CCCGCCCCCGCACCTTGGGATCTTTGCAATTGGCAGTTCCTTTGGCCTGGTTCTCTGTTCCCTCACCTGTCTTCTTACCTCCTTCAGATCTTTGTGCAGCTTTCCCTGCCCAGCTGTTGGAAAGTGCAACCTCCCCTCCCCTCAATGCCAGCACTCCCCTGCCTCTGTCAAGCTTGATTTATCTCCCTGGCGCCTTCTTTTGTGACACACCATCTATTTAACCTCTCTGTCCTGTTTGTTATGCATCTCACCTATTGGCCTTTGAGCTCCTCAGAGCTGGGGGTTTTGTCTGATTTGTTCATTGCCCAAAATAGAGCCGGGCACATACTGAGTGTTTGCTAAATGTAAATAAATACGGCTAAGGGCTGTGACCTGGTTTAGGTGTGGACAAGGGTCCTCTGACCATGTGAGGAGCAGCTTGTGAGGGGCTGAGGGGAGCATCACTTCTCAACACAGTAAGCCCCAGGAAGGAGGAATCCCCCATAAGCTCCCTCCAGCCTTTCTGTGTATCTCCGCCCTACCTCTTCTCAAAGTTTGTGATGCTGTGTTGGTTGGGTGATTTTTTTTTACTGCTGTCTGTCTCCCCCATTGGTGGACTTTGGTTGGTGAGGGCACAGCCCAGGGCTGTCTTGGTCATCTTTATGTCCCCCGGCATCACCCCACACAGGACTGGGCATGGAGTATGTGTCTAGTTAACACTTGTTGAATGAATGAATGAATACTGCATCCTCTGCTTGGAGAATTATCATGCAATTTAGTGTGTATTCAAGGCTCTGACAAGTCCTGCAGAAAAAGATAACTATTCTCTCTCTTTTTTCTTAAGATTATAGAAAATCTATTTAAATATTTTGGCACTGTGATGTATTAGTCAAGGGTCTTCAGGCTGCAAAAGACAAAAGGAAAATCTAAGAAACTGGCTAAACAGAAAGGGAAATTATTGACTCACTTAAGCAACAGTTCTGGGGGTTCTTCAAGTCTGACTCCATCAAGGGGCTTTAAAAATGTTATCAGAAATCTGTTGACTTTCCAACACATTGGCTCATTTTTCCCCTCCTTGGGGCAAAGATGGGCCCAGGCAGACCCAGCCTCACATGCCATTCTCCTGGGAGCTTGGTTAGAACAGTTTCCCTCTTCCCAAATCCCCTGGCAGAGCTCCAGATTTCCAGCTCATGGGCAACCAGCTTAGGAATCCCAGTGGTAGGAGGAAGCCCCCCGGTTCCCCCTGGCGGAGCAGCCAGAGTCCCAGAGACCCCGATCTTTGGTTCAACTTGAGTCATGGGCCCTTCCAGACGCAGTCACAAATGTGGGGGCCCGGGGTGCAGCCATCGGGCCTGTCAGGATTCAGGACTAGACCCACGGGGTCGGAGAAGAGGCCGGGAGGGCTCGGGCAGGAAGGCGACCCAGGCGGCGGTCCTGTCGCCCTGCAGTGCAGGTCGGCCCGGCCGACGCTCGGCTCACGGTGTTTGACCAGACGGAGGGCACTTGGCGCCTGCTGTGCTCCTCGCGCTCCAACGCCAGGGTGGCGGGGCTCAGCTGCGAGGAGATGGGCTTCCTCAGGTACCGGGGTGCCCCTGGGGGTGGGGGGCTGGGGGGCGGGGCCGCAGGCCTGACCCCTGCCCCGCCCAGGGCGCTGGCCCACTCGGAGCTGGATGTGCGGACGGCGGGCGCCAACGGCACGTCGGGCTTCTTCTGCGTGGACGAGGGGAGGCTGCCACACACCCGGAGGCTGCTCGAGGTCCTTTCCGTGTGGTGAGGAGGGCGACGGGCAGGCAGGGCGTGCACCGCCCCTGTCACGCACACCTGTGCTCCCCCAATGTGCCTTTCTTGCCTCTTAATTGGCCTCTCTTTTTGTCTCCCTCTGTGTCCCCATCCCTGTCTCTCCCACAGCGACTGTCCCAGGGGTCGTTTCCTGGCTACCATCTGCCAAGGTGAGACCCTGAAACTCAGAGTCTTCTTGTGAGACCCCCTCGAGGGCAGGGCCACGTCCCATCAGATACTCCCAGGCAGACCTTATCCTCTTAGATCCTGCAAGGATGGGGCTGTGTCTTCTCAGATCTCCCTCCCCTCCTGGTAGAGCCATGTCCCTCTAGGTCCCCAAGGACGGGTTTGTGTCTCCTCAGATCTCCCTCCCCCCCAGGTGGAGCCATGTCCCCCTGGGTCCCCAAGGATGGGGCTGTGTCTCCTCAGACACCCTCCGCCAGGGTGGAGCCATGTCCCTCAGACCTCTCAGGTTAGGATTGTGTCCACTCACTCTTCGCAGAGTGGCGCATGACCTCTCAGACCCCCTAAGGCAGGGGGTCTAGGCCTCCCACTGCCCCTGACTGCCCCCTCTCCCACAGACTGTGGCCATAGGAAGCTGCCCGTCGATCGCATCGTGGGCGGCCAGGACACCAGCTTGGGCAGGTGGCCATGGCAAGTCAGTCTTCGCTACGATGGAGCACACCTCTGTGGGGGGTCCCTGCTCTCCAGAGACTGGGTGCTGACAGCCGCCCACTGCTTCCCTGAGTGAGTGTCTCCCACAGCGCTGAGGGGGGAGGCTGGGGAGCGGCAGTGTCGGGGAGGCTGTGCCCAAGCAGGCTGCCACCCTTCCCTCCTATCCCTGGTAGGCGGAACCGGGTCCTGTCCCGATGGCGAGTGTTTGCCGGTGCCGTGGCCCAGACCTCACCCCATGGCGTGCAGCTGGGGGTGCAGGCAGTAATCTACCACGGGGGCTATCTCCCCTTTCGAGACCCCAACAGCGAGGAGAACAGCAATGACATTGCCCTGGTCCACCTCTCCAGCTCCCTGCCCCTCACAGGTAAGTCTGGGGCTGTTCCTTGGCCTGGGGACGCCAGGGGCCAGGAGGACAGAGGAGGGGGCTGGGGCATAGGAATCCATGGTGATGAGGGAAATGATCTTGAGGGGCACACACTGGGCATTCATTAGATGGGGACAATTGGTACAGCCACTTTGGAAAACCATGTGGCGATTCCTCAAGCAGTTCAACACAGAGTTACCATTTGGCCCGGCAATTCCACTCCTAGGTACATACCCAAAAGAAATGAAAACACATAGCTACACCAAAACTGGTGCACGAGTGTTCAGATCAGCATTATTCCAAAAGATGGAAACAACCCAGACGTCTACCATCTGACACATGGGTAAACCAAACGTGCTAGATCCATACAATGGAATGATACTAAGCCATAAAAAGGAATGAAGTCCTGATTCATGGTGCACAATGGATGACCCTGGACAACACTGTGCTAAGAAAGAAGTCAGGCCCAAAGAGCCACATACTGTATGATTCCATCTTATGAAACATCCAGAACAGGCAAACCTGTAGAGATAGAAAGTAGGTCAGGGGTTCCCCAGGAGGGGGCGGGGCATGGGGATGTCATAGGTAAGAGGGGTGATGAAAATGTCCTAAAATCAACTGTGATGGTGGTTGCACCTTCCTATTGCCAGGCAGGCTAGTACCTATATCTAAAACCTCTCTAAAAACCATTGACTTGCGCACTTTAAGTGGGTGAATTGTGTGGTATGTGAATTATATCTCAGAAGAGCTGTTACTCCCCCCCACAAAAAAAAAATGAAATGAAAAAATTTTAAGTACATGAATGAATCAGAAAGTCAGGCGATATCCGTGTTATAGTTCTCTGGAGCATTTCCTTTGCTCTCAATGAGAAAGATTCACTTGGGTGCCAATGTGTCTTTAATACCTCATCTACACACGCCTTTTGGATTAAGGGCAGGCCGTGGGCTTCAGCTTTCAGAAGGCCACTCTGTAGTAGGAATAGTAATAATAATGATAAAAATTTTAAATGATAAAAATTTAAAAAATAGTAATGGTGATGATAACGAAGTTAAAATAGCGATGATGATGAGCCTTCAGCAGGCAACAGTATGAGGACAGTAATAATAATGAAAGAATACAATAATAATGATGATAGGATGAACCTTAACACCTGCACGCTCCTCCTGTGTGCATCCACTGCCCTCAGCGTGTCCCAAGCATGCACTCATTTCATTGTCCCAACAGCCCGGGGAGAGTTGGTTCTCTTATGATCCTGTTTTTTCGCAAGGGGAAAGGTCCCAACACAGAGAAGGTACATAATGCCCCCAATTCCCACAACTGGCAAATGGCAAAGGTTTGAGCCCAGGCTGCCTGGCGCTGGAATCAGTGCCTGTAAGCCCCTGGCTGTGCTGCCAGGGAAGTCAGTACTATTTGGTTTGCATTTTTCTTATTTTTATGGTTATTTTTCTTCTGAATGATCCATGATGCTGGTTTTCCATTTAAGGGAGCGATACATGTTTTTCTTTTCTTTTTTCTAAATTAATTTTTTTTATTGGAGTATAGTTGCTTTACAGTGTTGTGTTAGTTTCTGCTGTATAGCAAAGTGAGTCAGTTATACCTACACATATATCCACTCTTTTTTAGATTCTATTCCCACATAGGTCATTACAGAGTATTGAATAATACATGTTTCTCTTTTTTTAATTTTTAATTTTTTACATCTTTATTGGAGTATAATTGCTTTACAATGGTGTGCATGTTTCTCTTTAAAACAAAATAAACCCTTCTCTTTAGTGAATGGAGTGAGAGGGTTAAAAAGATTGAAGTGGGGAGGCATCCATGGGGCACAGGTGGATGGGGTGGGAGGGTCCTGGGTTTGAGACACATGGCTGAGGGGTAACGGCATGGGCTTTGGGGTCAGGTACTTGCCAGCTCTGTGATCTTGAGCGCGTGGCTTCACCCCTCCATGCCTCAGTTTCCCTCATCTGTTAAATGACTTCTGAGGGTTATTGAAATGATGAAAAGGGTTAATCTGAGTCCAGAGCCTACAGCAATGCCAGCACTCAGTTAATATTAACAATCATTGCTATTGTCGCTGTTTTTTACTATTACTAGTTACGTGAGCATTTCCTATTAGCCAGGCATGCTATTCAACGCGTCACCGATTTCTCACTATACACCTCTGGGGGGAAATGATTATTCTTTCCATTTTGCACCTGAGAGCTCTGAGCTCAGGGAGGTGAAGTCACCAGCAGGCAGCAGGTAGGGCTGCCAGGACCACTGGTGTGGGTTGTGCACTGCACAAGGAAGTCATGTGTCAGGGATGCCATTCTTACTGTGGACAGGGTGGACTGGTGTGTTTATTATGATGATTTTTTTGACAGGTGGAAGTCCAGCATCTCAAGATAGTACCTTGTAAAATTTCTCACAGAGGCACCCTCTAGGCAGGGGCAGCCCCATGGGCCATGGTTAAGAATACAGGCTTGGAAATTGGGCCAAGCTGGGTTCAAATTCTGGCTCTGCCATCGACTCATGGACTCATTCTGAGGCTTTGGACAAATGACACGGCCTTATTTTCCCCTCTTTAAATGGGGTACTAATAGCTCCTACCTCCCTGGGCTGATGGGATATTAAAGGAACTCACCCAGGAAGGTGCCTACTACATAGTGAGCTCTCAGTAGAAGGCAACTTCTGCTGTTGTGGTGAAAGAACAGAGGGAAGGGTGGGCCGGGGGCACCAGGGGCAGCTGGACTGAGGTCTGTACCAGGCGGGGCAGGCCGGCAGGGGTGGGACCAGCGTGGTCTGTCTCACAGAGTACATCCAGCCCGTGTGCCTCCCGGCTGCCGGGCAGGCCCTAGTGGACGGCAAGATCTGCACCGTGACTGGCTGGGGCAACACACAGTACTACGGTGAGTTCCGTCCTCTGCCTGTGAAGTCACTGTTAAGGGAGACTCCGATCCGGGCTGGGGAAGGGCCGTTGGCCTGCTTGAAGGCCTCATGGCCCAGGGGTGTAGGGACACTAAAGAGCCTGGGTGGGCACCAGGAAGGAAGGGGGGTGTGCATGCCCCCCAGCTTCGTCCAGCCTTGCCTGCACACCCCCAGGCCAACAGGCGGGGGTACTCCAGGAGGCCCGGGTCCCCATAATCAGCAGTGATGTCTGCAACGGCCCCGACTTCTACGGGAACCAGATCAAACCCAAGATGTTCTGTGCCGGCTATCCTGAGGGTGGCATTGATGCCTGCCAGGTGAGGGACGGTGAGGGGCAGCCCGGGCCCCTGCCTCTCCGGGGGTGGAGACACATGGCAGTGGGTGGTCAGGCTCGCCTACCTCAGGGCCAGAGCGCTCTGTGACCACAGCCCACAATCATCCGAGGAGGGCCTCTTGGCTAGCCATCTTGGCTTCCAGCCAGGCCTTCCGTCCCCTACCAGGGTGACAGCGGTGGCCCCTTCGTGTGTGAGGACAGCATCTCTCGGACGCCACGTTGGCGGCTGTGTGGCATTGTGAGCTGGGGCACTGGCTGTGCCCTGGCCCAGAAGCCAGGCGTCTACACCAAAGTCAGTGACTTCCGGGAGTGGATCTTCCAGGCCATAAAGGTGAAATTTGGGCCCAGATGGGAGCCAGAGGGTGGGAGGGTTTGGGACTCTGAGGGGGAAAGAGAGCCAGGGTTTTCCAGAAACCAGCGCTCAGGCTTAGAAGAGGGTGCCCTAGGGAATGGATAGCCTTCAAAGGGCTCCTGGGGAGCGGAGTTCAGCTGTGGGACTTTGGGGGAAGCCTCTCAGACCTTGGAAGCCCTTAGTTGTCTTTCCCCAGACTCACTCCGAAGCCAGCGGCATGGTGACCCAGCTCTGACCTGTGGCTTCTCCTCGCTGTGCACGCCTGCAGGGCCCAAGCTGATCTAGGTGGCTCCAGCCCCACATGATGGGGTTCACCCTGGGATGGAACATTTTTCTTCTTGGGCCCAGCCCACCAGGTCCAAGGATACCCTCCCTCCAAGGTCCTCCACAGTGGCGGGCCCACTCAGCCCTGGGACCACCCGAGCCTCACCCTTCTGACCCCCATGTAAATATTGTTCTGCCGTCTGGGGAGTCCCATCTAGTGCCCCTGATGACAGGATGCTCTTTAAATAATAAAGATGGTTTTGATTAATGTGGTCTCTGGGTTTGCAAATGTAAGCAGCAAATGAGGACATTTTGGGGGGATGGAAGAGAGCAGTTGGGCCTGGCAAACATCAGACAGGGGAGTGTGATCCTCCAGTTCCCGCTGGCTTAAGAGAAAATATCTTAATTGGTTCACCTAACTGGAAATGCTCTGGAGGGCCTGGCTTCAGGTACTGCTGGATCCAGCTGCTGAATATTTTTCATCAGGACTGTGCCTCACTTCCTCTCTCACATCTGCTTTTCTGTGTCAGCTTCATTTCCAAGCAGGCTCCCCTACAGTCAGAGACAGAGATGTCCCCCCAACCCACCAAAACTCTTATATGCCATGGATGACTTAACAGCCACAGTGGAAAAAGAATCCTTCTTTCCCATCAGCTACAGCAAAAAAGTCCCAGGCCTGGCTCTCCCTGGATGGATTTGGGTCACATGTTCATCCCTTATCAAATCACTGTGCCCCTGTGCATGGGGTGGGGAGGAGGTTTGACCCTCAGGAACTACATGACTTGAGTGTGAGGGGTTCTCCAAAGGAAAGTGGGAAAAAATGGTTGTAGATGCCCAGTGAAAAAAAGACATCCACTGTGGATCAACATGGGAAGCAGGGCCCTGTGGGGAGGAGGCAGAAGTACCAGGCCCTGTGAGCACAACCTGAGACCCCCATCTTGTCATCTGGGCTGGAGGTTGTTCTCAGTTTCCCCTGGGACCCACTCTGTTCCCTAGAATATCTGCAGACCTTGCTGGGCCACCAATGGCCACCAGGGGGCACTACTGCCCCCTAAACTACGGGAACTTAAGGAGTTTCTTTGGTAGTCTTGTCCAGGTGTTGCTGGACACCAGATGCTCTGCAGGAAAACACCCACCAGGTGCCTGTTTCCCATGACTTTCTTTTCTCTTTCTTTTCTTTCTTTTTTTTTTTTGGCTGTGCGTGGGGCATGTGGGACCTTAGTTCCCCAACCAGGGATTGAACCCACGCCCCCTGCATTGGAAGCGCAGAGTATTGACCACTGGGCTGCCAGGGGGTCCCTCCCATGACTTTCAATGATAAAAATTAAATGTGTTGCTCATCAGCTACAAGCCCCCGAGCAATTTCCTCAAACATAAATAGACACAGGAAAGCCCCTTTGAATAACATACAGACTATCCATTTAGAAAATGCTCCAAGCATCCCCCCCTGGACCAGACTCTTAGGATTTGGTGATCCCCACCATTACTTTGTCCATCAGGAACGCCCCAGCCCCACATCTCCATGCAGTTTTCCAAACGTCTGCATGCTGCTGCACTGTTCTACCCATCATATTGGAGATATAATTCGAGATGACCCACACATTTGCTTTGTTAGAAACGTATTGAGTTACGGGGCTGGGGCTGTACATTTTCCTTTGTTGTCGTTAGCTGAAAAATGTACTGTATGTGTGTTTTACGAAGTTTGGGGACTCTGAAAGAACATGGTCCACCTTGGGGATTCTGAGCAGATATGACCATGTCCTGCAGGTTCCGAGGGGACACAGCTCACCCTGGCAGGGAGGGGGCCCGTCTGAGCAGACATGACCCTGCTCTGGGTGGGACTGAAGAAGGCATGGCCCCACCCTGGGAGACCTGAGGGGCTGCAGCCTGATTCTAGGAGACATGGTGGAAGTTTGGGCATTAAAAACCAACGGGTCGGCCACTGGGAAGATGTCGACCAGGGGACCACTCTGGGTTCTGCGCACATCATTGCTCTTGGAGAGGGGAGGGGGTTGGGAGATTGCGATCCACTCAACAGCCACTCACCAGTCTCCTTTGTTGGCCAGGGGTCGGTGAGCCTGTTTCCCCTGCTGCCACTAACCTTGTCACCCACCCCAAGGAGCCACACAGATATTAGAAAAATAATAAGAACAATCACAGGATTGCTTTGAAGCTCTGCTAGGACCTTGATCTTCAGAAAGATCAAATATCAAATCTCTTTCTTCCGTGTCATTGCTGTGTATCTCCGACCCAGAAGTATTTGGCCCATCTGATCCAATTTATGTAACCGCCTCAGGAATACGAGCAAGGCTTTGCATTCATGGTGAGTGTTTATATCTGAATACTCACTTTCAAATATAGAAAGCCTGCTGGATGTAACTTGGAATGGAAAGCTCCATATGTGGTTTATAAGTTGGCATTCTCCCAGTCAAGTTGAAGGAGAAACGTACAGTTATTTTTCCACCATGGTTATTCTGCAAGTAAATAGCCACCATAATTAACAATGATTGTGATGGCCATGAAATCTGTATTCAGAAATAATTATTCTGAATGTTCAAATAGTGCTGTAAGTAGAGAATGGATTTTAGTTTCTGCAGAAAAAGTAATACTATTTAAATCCTGCAGTTATTTTGTGAGCAGCTGTCCCAGTTCTACTGCTGCATAGCAAACCGTCCCAAACTTTGTGGTGTAATATAGCAACAAGCCAGGAGGGCTGTGAATCTGCTCAAGGTGGCACATGTGAGGGGGTAAAGCTAAGACTGGGACCATGACCAGGACATCTCAGGAGGTGGTACTGAGCCTCCCACTCCCCCTCGAGTGACCACCCTCTCGGGTGACAAGGCTTGGACACTGCCCCCCAGGATTTCCCTGGGCCCCCAGGGAAACCTGTTGTTCCCAGATGCTGGGGGTCTTCTGCGGATGAAGATGGGAGGCCTTAACCAAAGATTGCTCAGAGTGGGGAGAAGGTGATGGGGCCACTCATTCATACTGGGTGGGAGGGAGCCTGCAAATCAGGGCCTCTGTCCCACCGGGTTTGACCATGTGAAGGACTAGCTTGGGTTTGGGGAGCCAGAGCAGTGGCTTGGGGATCCCCACTTTGAAGATGGAGTCCCCACTTTCTAATTCTGAACCTCCTCTGCCAGGGCAGCCCCCAGCGATCTCCACACGTGCACAGTCTGAGCCCCACGTCACCTGCCGGTTATTCATCTTTCCAGGTGGATCTCTCCTTCTGACGGTCCATCCCCCAGTCATGTTCCCAAATGCCCAACTATGAGTTTCTACCACAGACTCTCCCATCATTCTCTGCAGATGTCCCCCTGGGCCCTTTCATCTCCCCAGGTGCACATCTCAACCACGCCCCCTGCACATGCTCCCTTAGGATCGGGGAGGCTGTGAGTTCATCTTTAACCTGCTGGGGAGAGAATTGGCAAGGCCCCGGAAGGAGCTGCGCTCTGCACCGTCAGCCCTCCAGCCTCAGCAGAGCTCCAGTGTGCTCACCTGCGGCTTGCTTGACCCGGGCTCTGGCCTGCTGATGGGGTGGGGAGCTCCTCCAGGGCCTGGATGCCTGTGACACAACCCTGCATCCTGGGAAAGCCCTGGGGCCACCTCCTCTCTCCTTCCTTGCCCCACCTCCACCCGCAGGTCTGGCCCAGCCTTAGCCAGACCGGGATGAGAACCAGCATCCCTGGGTGCTTCCCAGGCCCCCTGGATCCATGAACAATGGGTTAGTGGAGCTGAGTTACAGGTCCCTACCTGGCCCCCACCTCCGCTCCAGGCAGAAGCCAGAGCCGGCCAGCCAATCCATGGGGCTACCTTGGGGCTGCTCTGGCTGCTGCTGGTGGGTCAGTGGGATTGGGGGCTCTGGAAAAGGGTCAGCTGTGTTGGGTGGACCCCGACCCTTAGCAGACACCCCGTCCCCTTAGTCCTGCAAAGCCAAGTGACCTGGAGCGAGGAGCTCAGAGGTGAGGCTGGACATGCTTCCCAACTTGGTGAGGGGACAGGACTGGGGGGCATGTAGGGAGGGCCCTAGGGGTCTGAGAGGGCATGGCCCTGCCTGGAGTCCTGTGGGGACCTGACCCTGACCTTGGAGACTGAAGGGACATGGCCCAATCCGGGGGGGGTGGTGCGCGGTGCTGGAGGGACATGGCCCCGCCCTGGTGGGCCTGGGGGAGCCTCAGTGGTCTTGGTGTTCCCAGCCTCTCTCCTGTACCCCTACGGGCTGGAGCACAGGGACGAAGCCCTTTCTGCTGAGGATGATGGCTTCTTGGAGGAGCTGCAGCGGCAGGAGCCCTTTACACTCTTTGAGTTCACACACAGGACGACCTGTGTGAGTGCCCTGACCCCTGACCAGAGGTCCCTGGGCCCCATCTTCACCCTGACTCCATCCCTGCCTCATCCTATCTGTATCTACTCCTTGCTCCTTCTGGGTCCTGGGTCCTGTCCCCCGTCTGATCCCTGACCTGATGACAACCTTCTCCCTGTCTCTTCCTTCCCCACTTCCCCCAGGTCTGCACCAACGGGCTGGTGTCCTTCAGGGAGCCTGTGGCCCTGTTCACGCCTGAGGCATTTCCCCTGGAGATGGGCCAGGGCTTTGCAGCCCCATTCTGGGTGGGTGGGTCGACATCGAGCAGGGGCCATGTGTGGTACCGGCAGAGCCGCTGGCCTGAACTGCTGCAGCAGGAGGCCCGAGACCTGGCCTATGCCTCCCCCGCGGCCCTCCCACCCCGCGCGCCCTGCTCGTGGCCACCTGGGACCAAGTTCTCTTTTGGGGGACGCTTGGCCCCCAGGCGAGGAAGGGGATGGGGGAGAAGGGCCCAGGCTGGGGTTCTCTGGCCCAGGCCCAGGGAGGAAGGGTCTGCTTCTTGGGCAAGTGGGAGACACCTTGAGGGAGAGAGTCAGAGACAGAGGGAA